TTGAAGCTTGGTATAGGCTTCAAGTACCTCTGACTGTAAATATTGCCTCTGTCATGTTTCCAGAGTCCACAACTCAGCAAGGCCTTGAAGAGTATTCAGAGGACAAGAATCCTTCTCACTTTTTGCTTTCTCAGCCTGATAACGAATTGAATTGAATAATGTAACTCTCTGTGGCCTGAGAGCTCACGATCAAGATGACCGTCCTTCAATAGTTCCTTCAATTATATGGCCATATTGTTGTGTGAGCATCAGTTTTTACCAGCCTAAAGACTCAATAAATCAGTTCTTCCCAACTTTGGCAACTTTAAGATGCGTGGACTTCAAGTCCCAGAATTCCCCAGCCAACATGGACTGGAACATGCTGGAACAACCCTCTCTCTTCTTGAGGGTTAATGGCCTTGATGGCACATATTTTCTTTTTTCATTTTGAGTGAGAAAACAATCCCTGATTGGATTGCTTGAGACCTTGAGATTAGGCAGATTCCAATTGTCTGAATCTATGAAGTCCCACACTAAGCTGTGGGTCTCTCTAATGCAGGGTGTGTAGATCCTGTGACCCCAGGATCCCTTTTTTCTTTTTTTTCTTTTCTGAGTCTTCAGAACCCTTTCTGACTGCTATGGACAATAAATTGTGAGATTTACCATTTTGGGACAGGAACTGAAACCATAATATAAGCCCTCAATATAATCAATGTATTTTTTAAAACAAAGAACTTTTGCCCAAAACTTACCCCTCCCCCAAATAGGGACTACACATGAGGTGACACAACTTGTTCATTTTGTGTCGTTGCTCATCCACTTTTGTCTTTGGCACATTCCCCAGATCCATTGAAACAATCAAAATCTTTGCTGTGCAAGATCTGGCCACAAAATATGCCCATATAGCTTCTCCCATCAAAGCCGAGTTAAAGCCAACAGATCAGGCACAATAGGATCTTAGTAACATAACAGCTAGGGAGCCACTATGAAAGAACTCTGATGAATGCTATATATCTAAGCCAATGATGGCGAACCTTTTAGAGACTGAGTGCCCAAACTGCAACCCAAAACCCTCTTACGTATCATCGGGTGCTGGGTGGGCGTGGCCCATTGGGTGGTGTTGCCCATTGGGTGGGCATGGGTGTGGTGGTAACGGCAGACTGGGTGGGACTAAAAAGTTCAATCAATCAATTCCAACTTTGCAAGATCTTTTTTTTCCGTGTGATGTTGAAATTGATTGATTGATTGATTGAACCTTTTTTTTTTTAAAGCGAAAGGGTTTTATAAAACCCAGCTGAAGGACTAGGACTGGGGCAATGGCGCGCGTGCCCACAGAGAGGGCTCTGCATGCCACCTGTGGACGCGTGCCATAGGTTCACCACCACGGATCTAAGCTATCAGTAGTTCCAAAAGTTCAGAAAGAGATAACTGGAACTAGTTGCCCCTTTCAAGCTTCAGGACATAATCAACTAAAGCCAAGACCTTATCAGCCCATTACATACAACTATAGGACAGTCCTGGAAGTGTGCATGCCGGCAATGGGGAAAAAGTTCCGATATTTTGCACGACGTCACGAGTTTGACATGCCTGCCTCAAAATGTAGTGAGGGGGAAGAGTAAGAACAATAGGAAGCTGTAGGATGATGAAATCCTAAAGCTCTTCTTTTTTTATTTATGATCTGTGGGAGGATAGACCTTACATATCTGCTCTGTCCCTATAGACCCCATCCTGACCCCTTAGAGAAGTATGACTCTGGCACAACTAATTTTCTTCAGGAAAGGAGACCTGGAAACAGAATAGTACATAAATGTATAACATAAATGAACAATATGGGACAGACATTGTACAAAGAAATACATGCCAAGCATTTAATTAAAAAACAGCAGCATCCCAAGACTTTTTGGCGTGGCAGGCTCCACACCTACCTGGGGGAACTGAATTTTTATAACCTTTGCATCTGGTCTATCCCCTTTTCTGAATTGTGCTAAACATTTCTTCCTCTACACTACTCACTCAGTTCTGAACCTCTTTCTTTTTAAAATTAAGCTCCAGGTTGAAAGGCCATTATCTCGACTCGATATTATAGACTACCGTGCTTTAGCACAGAAAAAAAAAAACAGAAATTGTAACAAGTAGCAAATCACATTCATTCTCAGCCCTGTGAGGCAAATCATACACAGCTAGAAGAAAGCACTTCTTGTTGCAGCTTTTTATGAAACCTGGCAGGTGGCGCTTTAAATTACACAAGCAGGTGCCCTGTGCCTTGCTCCAAGGCTGACAGAAGAAGACTAGTCATTGCTGGTATTTTGAAAAGTTGAGAGCTATTTGGCTGGTTCAGGCATGCTTTAATTTTCTCCAATCTTTGTTGGTCCTACTGAAGCTTCTGCTTCCTACTGGGGTTGTTTTATGGATAGCTGGGAAGAGAAAGGCATTAATTGTTTGCCACTGCAGTCAGTGGTTTGAAGTAGGATTATAAGAATTTCAGGATTTGCATGTAGTCATGGCAATTCTTTAAATCCTTATTAGCTAAAATAATTCTGCAGGCAACTACAACTTTGTAGCAAAGATCTATAATATTTGTATTGTGCTTTCAAGCTCAACATTTAGCCCAATACATTTTGGTCTGGATTTAAGAAAGTCCAAACTCCATCCAGTATAATTTATGGAATTTTAAAGCATTTGAATGATTGTTCATTTTACATAATTCATTCAAGATTTTGGCTACTCGTAGAGAAAATCTGTATCAATATTGGTATTTTATCAAATGCAAATTGATCAAATGCAAAGATCTTTCCTCTCACTGCTGCAAAGTTTACTCAGCAACCTTTGCTCACATAGTTTCAAATATCTCTGATTCTTTCATGTGGTTTATAAGAAATTTAATTCTGTGTCCACCACTTCCACATTTGCAGAATGGTCACAACTGAAAGTTGCATCAGTTGAACTTAAATAAGGGAACTTGGGGATTTTCACTTTGTTTAGGCACAGAATCAAGGTTTGGGTTCTCCATTGGATGTTTCATCTTAAGGCAGTGTTTCTCAACCTTGGGGACGTTAAGATCTGTTAATTTCAACTCTCAGAATTCTGGGAGTTGAAGTCCACAGATCTTAAAGGTTGTGGAACTCTGTTGTAAGGGATCCTGTCTTGTTCCATAAGCACAGAGAGGATCACACACATCATTCATCATGCAAGCTCCCTACCAAAGTGCTATCCCTGGCTTTGACTGAGATAGTTCCTTCACCTTCAAACTTCCTTTGAATCCAACTTGATTCCTGGTGACTTCATGACCAGGTTAATGTGCTTTTCTTGACACTACAGCTGGGATTTATATTGTCTCCTTTCCTTTTCTTTCCCCAACCCCAGAAAAACAAAAAAAAATATCATTTGTGGTGACAGTGTTGAAAATGGGAGCTTTTTAAAATTTATATTTGGCCACATGATCAAACCCTTTAAGGAACTGCTGAGTGAGACTGTGAGGAAATGCCTCATCTTTGCTCACCTACTCCCAACGCATGGCCTCACTCCACTGCCTTGAACCAAATGGCAACCTCGACATTCTGTGGGGAAGGAAAAGGATGCTTTCCTCTCTGCTGACTCCTCAATGGCAAACAGGTCAAAGCCCCATATCAATTACGCTGCAGATAAAGCCTTTTTCTTTATCAAGAAATTAGAAATAAATCATGAAGGTGTTAGCTCTGGAGAAGCAAGAAGTAGGGGAAATGCAAGTCAGTTTCTTTCAGGGACTCAAGTATCTCCACTGGAGTTCTTCTAATGACTCTAGTATTTTTACTCGATTTACTGAGTAAATGTACAATAAACTCAATATATTGGAGTTATTGGAAGGATCCTAGTGGAGGGACTTGAGTCCCTGAAAGAAACTTGTTCCAGTGCCAAGTACCCACACATATGGCAGGCTATGGACACATCTGATGGTGTCTGACAGGGAATTAGATCTTTGGTCCATCAACCTTCCCAACCAGACATTCCACAGGAATTCTGGGAGATATGATTGCATCTTAACTGGAGAACAACAGGATGATAGAAATGTCACTTGCAATATCATGGTGACCTCCAAGGTCTTAATAGAGAGGCCTTTCTCAGTCCATTGACCTGAGGTCTTTCAGATTAGAGATACTGCCAAGGACTAAACTGAAACCTTCCATGCAATTATTTTGAGGGAGAATCTCATTAAAGTGATGTGTAGGGAAACCTGTCATGAAACAGAAGGGATGCAGTCATTTTGCTTCATTTGTAGCTTGGTACAAAATTCTAGCTCCATTTGCATCCTAACCAAAGCAAAGCCAAAGCAGTGAAAATCTGACATTGTAAAATTTTAGAATATTGACTCAAAGTAGAATTTTTGAATGGTTTACAGTAATTTCTCCTCATTAAGATAAATCCACCTTGATTCTGAAAAGATTTTTAATATTTATTTGATTTTTATGCTGCTCATCTTGTCTAGAGGCTAATAGACTGTTTAAGTTCATTTATCTATTGTCCCCTCCACTGGATTTTAAATACAGTTTAATGATTCTATAATTTAATGCAGCATGGTGGTCTTAAGCTTTTGTGAACCACACTGGTGCATAGATATTAGAGTGGTGGGATACAGATGGCAAAATAAGCAGTGAATTCAAAACCTGTGTTTAACTGGCAAGAGCACTTTTACTTTGTAGAAGGGATGATGCCTTTTCTCTTGTATATCTGCAACTAGGAGTATAAACTTTATCTGTAATGCCAGATATACTTTGAGAGTATCAAGTAAACAATTGAAGGTCATGCTAACACTGCAGATACTAAAAGTGGCAAGTTTAATCTTGCACAAGAGCCAATTGTCACTTAACATTAGACTAAACCAAAAGAAAGCCCAATAGTATTTGTTAAAAATAGCTGCAGCTGATATAAGGCAGTCTATGTTGCACCTTATGACACCATAGGTCTGAAACCCTGAAGGTTTTCAGGCGGTTACCCATTTGTAAATGATAATCAGAGAAATGTTGTAATGGTCAACTCTTTTTTTTGCCTGTTATGGGAAGGCCAATAAAATTCATTAGATGGATTTGAATGCGATACTCAAGAGAAATCTCTCTTTCATATCAAGTGATCTAAATGGACCTTGTTTTGCTAGCTCAGACAATGTTTGAAGTAGGGCCATGGCATCTCCATTCTGCTCTGGCCTTAACGGGCAAATGCAAAGCCTCAGCTCTTCTTCACTATATGTCAGTCCAGTCTTTTCATCATATAGGGCCCTTCTAGTCCATAGCCAATCTTCCTGTAGTAATCTCTGGTACCCACACCTGCAAGGAAAAACAGAAAGACTCAGTCGAGAAACAACTTACGGAGAAGAATATGCAAATAGCCAGTCTTACTGGAAGATGCTTTGAAATTTATTTCAAACTACCCCTATTATATCTATTATCAGCAGCGAAGTATGTTTACTTTGAAATAATACAGCATCTGTATGTCTTGTCATATCTGTCTGCATACGACACCAAATAAGCTTGCTTCATCTTGCCTCATGCTTCTGTCCTCGGCTTATTCATCTCCAGTTCCCATGTTACAGGGACCCTCTTCTTTTTAGAGCAGAGGTCCCCAACCTTGGCCACTTTATGACTTGTGGACTTCAACTCCCAGAATTCCTCAGCCAGCCATGCTGTCTTAGAGTAGCATGTTCTTCCATTGATGCCACAGACGGGAAACCTTGCAGCTCTTGGACTAATTTCATTCAGGATTAATTTTCAAAAACCTTATGTAAGCTCAAATTACTGATAAGAGTGATCTGTCCTTTATCTGCTGAGATGTTATGAAGAGGAAAAATTGGGTGCCGGAGAGGTTCCCTTCCCAATGCACTTCCATCACGTTATTCAAGAGAATGGGGTTCTTGATGGGTTGCAAATCTGTGACTTAGACCAACCCTCCATTTCAGCTGCAGAGCTTTTTATTTATTCTGTGACCACTCTTTCCACACGATTAACTAAAACGTTCATGACTATTCTGTGACATTTGCTACATAATGATACTGTTGACAGTCAAGCAATCTTTTTGTTTGTATTTATGATTATTAAACTGATCTAAGGCATTTTTCCCAGATGCAGAATTATAACCCAGAGCATATGGTTTCCTCAAATGTATCTTGTGGAGACAAGAGAGAGGCCATTAGCATATCTCCTTCTATTTTGCTGCTGGAAAATAAAGTTCTTAATCAGTGATTCAGCGAGGGGTGGAAGGTGCTGAATGAAAACAAGGAAATAGATGTGTGCAAGCTATAGATTTTTCTGCCAGATGGCTGGCCTACATGTTCCATTATTTTGAATAATGTGTGGGCTTTATGAAAATCATATCCTTTTTTACATCAGGCTCTTGCCAATCCAGAAGATCAAGTATGAAAATTCTAGATCAAATATTCATAAAAGTTAAGATTTATAAGTTCTAAAAGACATACTTTTTAAAATAAGAAAGGTAAACATTGAATCACATCACTTTCACTTCTGACTGGTATGTAGGATAACTACATACATAAACTGGAACAATATACAGAAACTCTTATTTGCCCAGTTGCAAAGGAAAAATAGGTGGAGTAATAATACTTTTGGTAGATCAGGAACTATTTTATCAGATACTTGAAATATGCTGGGGAATGGGAAATGAAACACAGGCAGTACAAATAAGCTTATTAATACTGAATAACAAAATAACAAAATGTTGGCTTCTTTGGTAGCTGCAGCACACTACTGGCTCATATTTAAGTGATTGTCCGCTAGAACTCCAAGATTCCTCTCGCAATTACTACTATTGAGCCAGGTACCACCTATTCTATACCTGTGCATTTGGTTTTTCTTGCCTAAATGTAGAACTTAACTTTTTTGCCACTGAATTTCATTTTGTTAGATAGAGCCCAGTGTCCCAATCTGTCAAGATCCTTCTGTATTTTGAGCCTATCTTCTGAAGTATTGGCTATTCCTGCCAGCTTGATGTCATCCACAAATTTGATGAATTCCCCTTCTAGTTCTTTGTCTAAACCATTGATGAAGATATTGAAGAGTATCCGGTCATTCACAAAACAATTACCAATTATTAGCATACATTAAAACATGGAATATGCTACTCCTATATGGAATGCAGAAAAGTATTTCTAGCAGATGATGGTATACATAATACTGGAGGATGGGGAAGTGAGCAAATCCCCTATATTCTTGGTGACCTTATATTGTCCCATAATAGCATTGCCTAGAACTCTTCCTGGAGAAAAGATGGAGTTGGCATTTAGCTCTTTTGCAATTTCTGTTTCCTGGTTATTGTTCTGTCTGTTGCAAGTTTCTGGTTGTCTCTGGCGAGTGGCTGTTTCTGGGGGTAGTTGGCACTCATAACTACGGTAAGTACAGGGTTCCCACCCACAGGCTTTGGAGAGGCAAATGATACAATTTAGGATGGGCTGTCGGTCACTTGTTATACTTTGAAATGACTTTAAATGGGACTTGCAAGTGGCAATAAACAAAACACTATCATTTTCTCTTCAAGGCTGGTCCTGTAATCAATTATTCTCAGCTATCTCTCCCCTCCCTTTTCAGCTTGTTGAATGAGCATTGTTTGAAACAAAGCTGATGTAAATTCTTAAGTCAGAATTAGCAACCTGATGCTTTCTAAATATTTTTTAGACCATAGCTCCTATAAGCCCCAGCCAACAAAGCAAGAGCTTTAAGTATTACAAAGTGTATGATCAGGACACAACTATGTTTTTGAATCAAATGCGTGGGATTGAAATTGTCAAGAAGCCAATTGTGACCACATGACAAAAGCCTTGCCTCCCATTCATGATTTACATAAAGGAATGGGTGTCTCTGATCACACCTGCCATTTTGATTTTGTTTAACCACCAGAGGCCCTTGAATGCAATTACACTTTATTTAAATTAAATATACTTAACATATCCCTTGTAATAAGCAGAAGAAATTACCTTGAAGAACAGGAAGAAGAACTACTACCAAGGAAATGGTCAAATAAAAGAAACCTGAGTCTGGGGCAGAACTGTAATCTGAGAAAGCATCTCAGACAAACCCCTCCATAATTCTCATGAACAAAAAAAAGAGGGGGGAGGGAAGTACATTCACACTTGCAAGATTCTGTTATTATAATCTTATGTTAAAAGTAGCGTTAACCTCTATGACTTTGATTTCCTTGTCTGATCAACTGTAAATGCAGATACACCTAAGTAGCCACTGCATATACAGTACACTGGAAGGTTTGTTCTTCAGCCTATAAAGCGTTCAGTCATCAGCATCTCATTTATTTTATTTATATCCTGCCTTTATAAAAAAAATTTTTTACAAAGAATTCAAGGAGGCAAACATACCTAGTAATTCTTTTTCCTCCTATTTTCCCTTGTGAGGTGAATTGGGCTGAGAGAGCATGACTGAACCAAGCTGGTTTTCATGGCTGGCTTTCATTTTCCAACCCATGCTATACCATTATAATTAGGCAGAGAGAGACAGTGAGTAACTCCGAGTCACCTACTGAACAATGTGATGAATGAACCATTTGTATCCAAGTTTTTAATTTCTCAAGCACTGCCTCACTGTAGCCCACTGAGAATTACCTTTTGCAAATGGATTTAATAATGGGCTTATTCATTCATGTGATACTTAAATTCCTCTCTCCTTTGTGGTAAATTTTTCTGTTTCTAACCAGAACTATGTTGAGGGTTGATTCTGGTTTTTGATTTTTGAGGATTAGTTCTTATTAAGGATAGGAAATTTTTATATCACCTCTATCAATAAAAAATACTGTTCAGTTCCTAACCCCTAAAACAAGGAAAGCCCAGATGATGCTTAGAAGTGAGTTGTTTTATGCCGCCATCAACCCCTGCTGATGAGCACTGGTCATAAGTAAAGAATGATGAGGGAAAGCTATGTAAAAATGTTTAGAAGTGTCCAACCTCATAATCACAACAAAAGCAATCTCTGGTTCAAATCAAGCCCTAATAATTATTGAAAGATAATTTTTAAGTTTTGGCTGGAAAGCCAGCAGCCCATGTTTGAACCTGAGTGTCACACAACAGGGTGAGCTCCTGTCCTTGTCCCAGCTCCTGCCAACCTAGCAGCTTGAAAGCATGCAAATATGAGTAAATAAATAGGTACCACTATGATGGGAAGGTAACAGCGCTGTGACATCATGCTGGTCACATGACCATGGAAATGTCTTCAGACAGCGCTGGCTCGATGGCCTTCAACTGGGCATGAACACTGCCCCCTATAGACAGCAATGACTAAAGGAGTAAAATCCTCAGAGATTCCTTTACCTTTAAAATAATAATAATAAAAACAATTGCGGGCACAAGTTATAGATAAACATATAAGTATGTGCCAATTTTTAAAATTGTTTTTGCTTCTTTTTAAACATTGACTCCCAGAGTGGGGTTTTTTGGGGAGGGGGAATACAGCTGGGGTTGAGGCAGAGCTGAAGTGCCATTAATGAAATATTGCCATCTCTGCAGGAGCTCAATGAGATATAATCACTCCATCTGGAAGGTCTGTGATAGTTCTGAGTCTGGTTTTAATCGCACAAAGAAAAACCTACAGTCCAAAGGAGCTGGGATCTGCATTCACAATGATGGAATTGACAGATTTATCTACCACCAAATATTATTGTCATTATGTTCAGTCATAATAAAGTAGAACATTCAAGGATAGTTTATTATTTCAAAATCTATATAACATGACATTTTTGTCATTAGCTCCCCTTGGTGTCATATTGAGCTCATGTGAATTTTTCTGCCTCAGAAAAACCTTTCTCAAGATTGTAGTAAATCTTAGTATCTTGTCTGGCTTTACAAACTTTACCTCTAGTATCTGATATACAAACTGTAAATCAGCTTTCACCCCTTTTATATGGAAAGCAAAACTTTCCATATAATTATCGATGGAATACTACACAAATCTCAAGGAATGGTTTTGGAAATGTGGGGCTGTGGGCTGCCTGAACAGGGTCAGTACTATACGTAATAAGTAGATGGAGAATTAATGGAGCCCAAAACTTGGTAGTCAATCACCAGGTTTGCATACAAAAAGTCTTAAACTTGGTCTCTGACATCATCAAATTAAAAAAGGATCAGATGAATATGAAGAGTCCTCCTGAGTGAAACTAAAAGTTCACCTAATACAGTATTTTCTTATCCAACTGGCCAATCGATACTGTTGGGAAATCCAAAAGACAACAACATCTCCCACCACAATTACTAATGACCAATATGCAAACAAGAAGTGATTATAAGAAGTATACATATATCCAGTATGACTAGTAT